GCGTCTGCTATGGCGCGGTTATCGCTTGTATTTTCTGGGGGGCAAAGTCTCAAGGTCATTGTTATTCTTCTTGTGTCAGAAAATAATTTTCTGCGTTTTTTTTAATCAAAACGTTCTTTTGTTTTGGCAGAGTATTTACTTGCTCTCTACCTCAAGCAGAACAATGCAGCTCTACCAATTTGTTGTAATTTTTGGAATCCTAATGCTAATTTTGGGACAAATTCCATCCTTCCACAACCTGAGGCATATCAATCTGGTTTCTCTAACCTTTCTCTAGAGTATAGTGCATGTGCCACAGCTGGTTCCATATACATAGGTAAGGAAGGACAATAAATTCTGAAATAACAAGTAGCTTTGTCCTAAAACCATTTCATTTAACTAACTATGATTCTCTGCAGGAAGAATCCAAAAAGCGGCCTGCGAAGGACTATCTATTAAGGGAGGAGCACAGAATCGAGTCTTTGGATCCTTTATGCTATTTTGATCATCGCTACCACATATGGGAATGGAAATATTCCTGAAATACAGGTTCCTTATAACTTGAATGTTGATTTTCTGCAGTAGTAATTAAAACACGGCTAGCAGTTGTTTCAAATGAAACAAGTTTCCGAATTTTTCGTTGTTCCAGGCAAACTATAGCACCACCAGTAAAGGGGAAAATGCTCAAGGGATTAGTGTGGTTATGCTGTTGTGGTCTCCACATTTTTCAGTGTTGCGATTTCTGGATTTGGGCATTGGGAATAATCAGGCCCGGGAATAGTTCTTCAGAATTTTATAGTGAACGATGAGCCTCTGTTGCCCACTTGGGTTCTCTTGATGACAATGCTTTTACGATCCTCCAAGTGGTGCTGTTTCATGGTAAGACCTGTCTCATTCCCTGCCATGTCCCAATGGAATATCAATATGATAGATGAGCCAGATATAATGATTTTGGTCTGCAGGTTTACTTGCAGCCAACAAATGAAGCATTTGAAAAGAAATTTGTAGATGCAAAGATTGAACAATTCGCCATTCGCAATGTAGTACCAAGGTTGTTTTCCGATCGTTATGTGGTGGTCGCGACAAATGTTGCGCAATGTTTCCCTTTTCGGAGACTCAATGCAATACTTGGAGCATTTGGATTCATACCCCTGACTTTGTTCTGCCAATGGTCTTCTACAATGTCACTTTTAAGCCCTCCAGCAGACACTAATTTTCTGGGGAAACACATTGAGTTGTCATCTTTACATTGTTGGCAGCGGTGGGACAATATCTTCTATTCGGCAGATGATCCTTGATGCCAACACCTACAGCTTATTCGCTAACGTGTAACGATAACCAGTATTTACATTAATCAGGAATGACTACGCTAGAAAATTTCAAAAGTATAATATGTATGAACAATGAAAATCACAGCAAAAAGTATGTGGAGCAATTCATAAAATTCTGTAGCCTCCTTGTCAAAAAGCGAAAATTAGTAAGAATAATAATAGTCTGCAGCTTCTAATATTAGTATTTTATCCATTTAAAGTTCTGTATAAGATACAAAATATAGGACAAATTTGACTTTCATAAGAATCCTTAGTAAAATATGTGTATCTTGACTGGACTTTTTCTGTATAATGTAATTTCTCAGAATAGTCCAAAACAGATTTCAAAGGTTGTTGAAGAAAGTCACTCAACCTTTTTATCCTGACTACTTTATAATATATCTTGAGCCTTGCACGCTATTGAGTACTTAGAAAATACAGAACTCGCCAGAAACTTTTTTATGGTCAGTGAAAGCTGACAGGATGACATATATAAAGAAAGATTTAGAGTCCTTGAGCAACTTGAATCTCATGATCCAAAATTGTTTTGATGCATCGATATAAAACTTTTGATTTCAGGAATGTTTTTTAACTACAGGACCCACTTGAACATTTTTGATAAGATATAGGAGACTCTGATTGCTGGAAACAGTTAATTTGTTTATATCTTTAGTCCACCTGTGTGAGCAAGTGTAAGAGCTAGAGATGGCAACTGCAGTTCCAACTTCCATGAATGTATCAACAACTTGCAAAGAAGAGGTCTTTGATCCTCCGAAAGAGGTTGATGCAGGAGCTTTATTTGTGCTTAAATCACGAGTTTAGTATATTAATGGATCGGAAAATGATTTTATCATTTCAAGTTGTGTAATAGAGACACAAATCAGTAAGTTTATCTAGTATGGGGAAAGGATAATTGATGTTACAGGGTCATGGTTGCATTGCAGATACCACATGACAACAACAATTGTAGCTCCAGCACTTTTGAGTTTTCCCTTTGCTTTGTCTTTGATGGGTCGGTATGCAGGCATATTGTGTTTGATCCTGTCAGCTTTTGTTACATTTTATTCCTACAATCTTCTGTCATTGGCTTTGGAGCATCATGCACAGCTTGGACAGCACCAGCTTCGATTTCGTGACATGGCTAGAGATATTCTAGGTTTGTGATGATATTTCTTTTATCAAATGTTCTAATAGTCCACATTAACATAGGAGAAAATTTTCAAATAATAAAAAATTTGTTGATTGAGTATTCATAGTCTAATTCAACAGGACCAGAATGGGGCAAATACTTTGTAGGTCCAATTCAATTTGGCCTATGCTATGGAGCAGTTGTTGCTTTAGCTCTTCTTGGAGGGCAGAGCCTAAAGGTCAGTCTCACTATTTTCTTCTTTATCTTATGATCTTTCAGAATATTAGATATGCTCCTTAACTTGATGTGAAAACTATCCAAGTGAACCGAAAATTATTTGAAGGTATAAGTTTTTCATTTATCTTCAAACTTGTCTTCTTGTTTTGCAGTTTATATACTTGCTATCTAGACCTAAAGGAACAATGCAGCTCTACCAATTTGTCATGATTTTTGGCATTTTGATGCTCGTATTGGTTCAAATTCCATCCTTCCACTCCCTCAGACATATAAATCTGGTTTCTTTGATCCTTTGTCTTGCCTATAGTGCTTGTGCCACAGCTGGTGCTATATACATTGGTAAGAAACAGTAAATTTAGGAGTGTTCTGCTTTTAATCGATTTTTATACATTAACTACTAAAGAGTTATTCTCTAACAGGGTACTCCAAGAATGCGCCCAACACGAACTATTCAATAAAGGGAAGTGCACAAAATCGTGTCTTCGGATCCTTCAATGCTATTGCAATTATTGCTAAAACATATGGGAATGGCATTTTTCCGGAAATACAGGTTTATTGCCACTGACCTTATTATTTGGTGATGGGAAAATTTAAGGGGAAGGAAAGAAACCTTAGGAATCAGATTTGCATTTTCAACTATAATAGTTATTTTGAGAAAGTACTATAAGCTTAAAGCCATTTTTTTTTCTTTTTTTTTTTTTTTTTGGCAGGTAACTATAGCACCTCCAGTGAAGGGTAAAATGTTTAAAAGATTATGTTAGAGTTATGCTGTGGTCATCTCAACTTTTTTCAGTGTTGCAATCTCTGGGTATTGGGCATTTGGCAATCAATCTCAGGGAACTGTTTTAGCAAATTTTATGGTTAATGAAAAGCCTCTGTTGCCCACTTGTGTTCTCTTGATGACCAATGTTTTTGCCCTCTTGCAACTATCAGCTGTTTGTGTGGTGAGTCTTTTTTTACTCGGTAGTTTTGGCAAATTTCTTGTTCATTTAATGATGTCTTTCCACACACATTTACCTCAGAAAAATTTGCGAAATCAATGGCAATCGGTATCCTCATATAGAGCTTTTCAGAAACCTATCAAAAAATAAGAGCTTCATTCCAAGAACATGGGGACTATTTGAAATAATAAGCCTGCAAATAAATAATTGTCTCATTATTTGTAGTATATGTTGTTTTGACTAGGCTGAAAAACTTGGTGCAGGTAAACTTGCAGCTGACAAATGAAGTGCTTGAACGAAAGTTCGCTGACCCAAGGCTTGATCAATTCTCCGTTCGCAACGTTATACCTCGATTGGTTTTTTGATCATTATCAGTAGCCACAGCCATAACTCTTGCTGCAATGTTTCCGTTCTTCGGACACATAAATGCAGTAATTGGAGCATTTGGATGCCTGCCTCTGGACTTCATTTTGCCAATGGTCTTCTACAATGTGACCTTCAAGCCCCCCAAACACAGCCTGATTTTCTGGTGTAACACATTGATTGCTATAATCTTTTCAGCTTTGGCAGTTCTTGGGGCAATATCATCAATCAGGCAGATGGTTGTTGATGCCAAAACTTACAGCTTGTTCGCTAACTTGTAGAGGCTAAAATAGATCATTTATGTTGTTCTGCAAAATGAGTACATGCTAGTCAAGAAACTTATAATTAAGAAACATATGTCGTTTATTCGGAAAAAAAAAATTGCAACCTCGACGCAGAAGAATACCCATCAAAGATCATGTAAACTTAAGCAACAACCATTATTAATTTTCTTATTAACATAACTAATCATCACAACACTCTCAAAATGGTAACAGTTGATAAAATCATCTATAAGTATGAAATTGTCATTTCTAGTTTCACATATGAAAGAGAGAAAGAGACAGGCTCATTGATTTTTCTTAAAATATCTCCCAAAGAAGATCCTTGGAATCTTCAGCATTTTTATTGATAATAAAAAATATCCCCCTTCTTTTATTCTTCTTCACAACGTTACATGTGCTTCTTAAAGTGATGGGGATGGATAGCTACAAGCCAAAAACAAAGGAAGAAAATATTTGGATTCATTGTTTTTTAACATTTGACAAAATATGAAGTATAGTATCTGAGTAAATGATTCAAAAAAAAAAATTAAAAGAATCACATGATAGAGACACCCCACTTAATATACGTCACAAAGTAAAGCAGATAAATTTGACTATAGATTGCTTAAAGGTTCAAACAGTTGAAAAGTTTATGAATATTTTAAGAGTAAAATATTCGTTTCGCCATTGGATTTTCCTTGCACGTTGCACTCTCCTGAGGAAAAGTTCAATGCGGTTTTCAACAATTATAAAATTATTGACAATGAAAATAACATCCAAAATTTGCTGTAGAGTTTGATTTTAAGCTTGAATATTGCATGATTTATCCTAATATTTAGCAGGCGAATGTGACCAGTTGACTTGACCAAACCTGCAAATTGGGTTCTGCATATAATCTCCAGGACCCAAATACTAATTTCTCGTTGCTAAGATACTTTGTTCACAGAACTGTCAGTGAATTGCAAAGAGAAAAGATGGGAACTTTGGTTCCAGGCTCCCTGAATATATCAACCGCGGATAAAGAAACAGGCATCATCGATACTCCAAAAGAGCTTGATGCTGGAGCTTTGTTCGTCCTCAAGTCGAAAGGTAGGCATAGTATTAGCTTAAATTTTGTGAAACTTCAGAAGAAATATGACAGAAAAATTATCTTTATCAGAATGCGTATTGTGTTCTTTTCTAAAAGTGGGTGTAATTTGGCTGCAGGATCATGGCTGCACTGTGGATACCATTTGACAACATCAATTGTTGGTCCTGTGATTTTCAGTCTTCCCTTTACTCTGGCCTTGCTTGGCTGGGTTCCTGGAGTTTTAACTGTGACTCTTGCGGCCCTGGTGACTTTCTATTCCTATAATCTTCTCTCTGTGGTTTTGGAGCACCACGCTCAACTCGGAAAACGCCAGCTTCGTTTCAGGGACATGGCCAGGGACATTTTAGGTTAGTCTGTGATATTTGAACACACTTTTCAGAATCTATGGAACATATTTAATTGACAGAAGGGAAAGTAACCAAATATGTAACTTGCCAGGACCTGGATGGAGCAAATTTTTGGTAGCACCACTTCAGTTTGCAATATGCTATGGTGCTGTAATTTCTTGTACCCTGCTTGGAGGGCAGAGCATCAAGGTCAGTTAGTGTCTCATATGGGAATATTCATGTAATTTTTTTATTTTAAAAAGCAGTTTTATATCAATCAAACACTGAAAAACAAGTATGAAATTACCTTAAAATGTTCAATGCTCTAACATCATACTGATATTCAATGATTTTGATTAGTGGAATTCTATGGTGGTTTGTTGGAAGAAAAAGCTAGAATATATTCAATATAAAGTATAAAGAAGTAAGAATTATGAGTTTTGTTTACTTTATTTATTCTTCAATTTACATTTCTGCAGTTCATTTACTTGCTCTATCAGCCAAAAGGAACAATGCAGCTGTACCAATTCATAGTCATTTTCTCAGCTGTGCCGCTAATTCTAGCACAAATGCCATCTTTCCACTCACTGAGGCACATTAACCTTGTCTCCTTAGTCCTCTGTCTGCTTTACAGCGCCTGCGTTGTTGCTGGTTCCATATATATTGGTAAGCAGAAAATCACAAGACAGAAGTTACATGCAACAATGTGTTTTATGCATACAATTCTTATCTCTCAGGAAATTCAAAGAATGCGCCTGCTAGAGACTATTCAATGAATGGATCTCAAGTAAATCACATTTTTGGTGCTTTCAATGGTATTTCAATCATCGCTACCACATATGCAAGTGGAATTATACCTGAAATACAGGTTTTTCCTTCACTTCCTTCTTCTCGTAATGAGAACATGTATACTTGTCTTTACTATCTTAATTTTCAAATGAATCTAACTGTCAACAAATTTAACTGAAGTACTAATCTGGTTCAATAATATAAGGTGATTTAAGATAGCTAATAGCATAAAATCCTGAACTTTCACAGGCAACTATAGCACCTCCAGTGAAGGGCAAGATGTTCAAAGGCTTATGCATCTGTTACACTGTCATAGTCATCACATATTTCAGTGTCGCCATCTCTGGGTACTGGACATTTGGTAATCAATCTCTACCAACAATCCTTACCAATTTTATGGGTGATGGAAAGCCATTGCTGCCCACTTGGTTTCTTCTGATGACCAACATCTTCACTCTTATGCAACTAGCTGCCATCACTGTGGTAAGAGCTGCCCATTATAGCTTTGGTAATTATTCTAATGATCTGTCCAAAATCACACACAAGGAATCAAGAAAGAATGGAACTTCAAAGATAAATAGCACTGCAATGTTTTCTATTCTCCAACCTAGCATTATTTTTGTTAATACCTTTGATTTGGCAAAATAATATTGCTTCTACCATGGTTGAGTCAAGTTAACTTCTTCCATAAACTGAAATGAGCCAGCCAGGCCCAAACTTGAGCAATATTTCGGGTTGCAATATGATAATATATTGTTTATTGCAGATTTACTTGCAACCAACAAATGAAGTGTTTGAAAAATGGTTTGCAAATCCGAAGATGGATCAATTCTCCATTCGCAACGTCATACCACGACTAATATTCCGGTCACTTTCAGTGATCAGTGCCACATTTATTGCCGCAATGTTACCTTTCTTTGGAGACATCATGGCACTTTTTGGAGCATTTGGATGCATACCTCTAGATTTCATATTGCCTATGGTTTTCTACAATGTGACTTTCAAGCCATCCAAACAAAGCATAATATTTTGGGGAAACACATTAATAGCAGTAGTATCCTCAGGATTGGTGGCAGTAGGGGCAGTAGCATCAGTTCGACAAATAGTTCTTGACGCTAAGATGTACAATTTATTTGCTAATATGTAATACCAACGATAATACTATGTACTGATTATTGTGGCCAGAATGAAACTATTCACCTTGCCAAGTATGCGTACATTACACACAAGAAATTCTTAATAAGGTACTAAAATGAGCAGCTTCATAGCAAGAAAAAGGAGAGAAGAGTGTACGAGACATCACCACATGAAACCTCATTTTGACAATAGACCCAAATATTAATTTGGTGAGGCTTTTATAGAAAGTGGATTTGCAGAAAGTTGCTCTCTATAGGATACTTTAAAGCATTTTTTGAACAATACCTATAGATACTTCAATTATGTAAACCTTATGTGCTTCTTCAATTGATGAAAATGACAGCTACTGACCAAAAGTAAATATATTAACTGTGACAAAGTTGAGTCTCATATCTTAGTAATCATGAATTATAAAAGAAAGTTTAAACTAACATGACAGCGTATCCATTTAAAAATGCATGAATTATAAAATACAGTAGATGAATTTGACCGCCATCGCTTATATCAAACGCAAGTCTTTCCTTTCTGGTTTTTGCCTTAAAAGTTTACAAAAAAAGATAAATAAGCAATTAGAGAACTCATAACACTTGAGTAAAATATGAATGTGACTTTCTTCAAGAGAAGATTTATACAGTTCAATTGGCAGTGAAAGAAACATTCTCACTTTTCTAATGTTTTAGATTTCTCATTGCACAGATACTTTATGTACAACTCTTAGTCAAGCACAGGGAGAAAGATGGGAACTGTAATTCCAAGCTCCATGGATATATCAAAAACTGATAACGAAACAGGCATCATTGATTCTCCAGAAGAGCTTGATGTTGGAGCTTTGTTCATCCTCAAGTCTAAGAGGTTAGTCAAATTAGCCAATTATGAATATGAATATTCAACAATTTGTCAAACATCCACATGCTTTTTAATCCAAACTTAAGTTCTATGTAAAATGAGTTCACTAAAACTATTTGTATTTGAAAAACTCTTTCAGCAAGAAGTTTGAGTTATACTTGAAGAAAATGTGGACTTGTAAGAACTATGAATGTGAATGTTATGCTTTTGTTTCTAAAATTGGGTGTGATTGGTTGTGTAGGATCATGGCTGCACTGCGGATATCATTTGACAACATCAATTGTTGGTCCTGTAATTTTCAGTCCACCCTTTACACTGGCCTTCTTAGGGTGGGTTCCTGGAGTTCTCAGTGTGACTCTTGCAACTCTGGGGACTTTCTGATGTAGGGAAAATAGTGTTAAATTAGAAGTTTAGTTGATTTAGGAAGTTTTAATTTAGTTAAATTTTACTTTCTTATTTTATAATTAGTCAACCGTTGGGATTTCTTATTTTAATTAGTTTTCGTGTTTAAGTAGGATTTTATTTCCTTGTTTAGTTGAAGTCTTGTTAGGGTTGGTTGTAACCACCCTATATAAACATATTATTCGTTTCTTTTGAGGATATAAAATATTCAATAAAATATTCAATTTTTACTTCAGATTTTATGGTTTAAGTTTATGGATTGAGACTTGTGTTATCAGTTCTAAAGGTGTAGTCGTGTGCTCGCCTTGTTTATCATGCTAACTCACTGCATCAGTTGGTATCAGAGCAGGCAAAATTCGTCTGATCTAATGACAGGTGATGAAGTTGTAGGAGGCGACGATTCTCATGACAAAGATCAGGGAGCTGAGACCTTACAAGGGGTGGCGTTGAGGGCTTTGCAGCAACAAATCGATCTCATATTCCAGTGTTTGCAACGACGCTTTGAAGAAATTGCAGATCAACTTGATGCTTTGAACGTAGATGCCAACAAAAATAAGAATGACGAAAGGCAATGTATCGAGGATGATGCCGCTCACAGACGGCCTATTGGCAGACCTATTCTTGCAAATAGACGTAGACAACTAGTTTATGTGGAAGAGTCAGACAAAGAAGATGGTTATTATGAAGAACCTAAAAGGAACATGGGGTATGGCAGAAATCAGTATGGTGACAGAGAATCCAACGAATTCAAATTAAAGGTAGATATCCCTTGCTTTAGAGGAAATTTAGATATTAAGGAATTTTTGGATTGGATTGTGGAAATAGACAGGTTTTTTGAATATATGGAGATTCCAGAAGGAATAAGGGTGAGACTTATTGCGTGCAGATTGAAGGGTGGAGCTTCTGCATGGTGGGAAAGATTACAGTCCAGAAGATTTTGCGAGGGGAAAGCACCAATTAGAACCTGGTACAGGATGAAGCAGTTGTCACAAAGGGATTTTCTTCCTCATAATTATGAGCAGATCTTGTTCCAACAGTACCAGAGATGCCATTAGGTCAAAGATTTGTCCAAAAATATATTGTTGAATATCGACGGTTGTTACTCCACCTTGACTATAATGAACATCCATATAGAATAGCTTTAAGATTCTTTAATGGGCTGAATGTAAAGATACGAGCTCAAATTGATTTACAACCTGACCATACATTAGTTGATGTTCTTCAACTAGCCTTTGTTGTAGAATCACAATTAAGAATTAAAAAAAGAATTCTTCTTCAAAGAATGCATGCCTCACCAGTTATGGAAGAAAACAAGAAGCATCAAGCACTTCCTAAAGAAATTCTTAAAGCCAATGAAGATCGTGAGATGTTACAAATTGAGGATCACACATCAAAGGAGATTGAGCATAAAGTAGAAATTGAAGTTGAACGATTCCAAGAAGAAAAGATTGAACAAAAGCAAAAGAAAACTATCATAAAGGAGAAGCTTGAGCAAAAGCAAAAGAAAACTATCATAAAGGAGAAGCTTGAGTAAAAGCAAGTTTTCCTAAAGGAGAAGCTTGAGCAAGAAGAACACATTCAAGTTAAGGATCAAAAGGATGAAACATTGACGACATTCGATTGCGACTTGAAGACTATAGCGCATTATAACGGTCCTAGGAAGATCAATGACAGGTTATTTATTTGCTCCAAATGAGGACTTGTTACTCTACTTTAAGTATCACCCACCAGATTGAAACTCGAGGACGAGTTTATTTTTAAGAGAGGGAGTATGATGCAGGGAAAATAGTGTTAAATTAGGAGTTTAGTTGAAGTTTTAATTTAGTTAAATTTTACTTTCTTATTTTATAATTAGTCAACCGTTGGGATTTCTTATTTTAATTAGTTTTCGTGTTTAAGTAGGATTTTATTTCCTTGTTTAGTTGAAGTCTTGTTAGGGTTGGCTGTAACCACCCTATATAAACATATTATTCGTTTCTTTTGAGGATATAGAATATCAATAAATTATTCAGTTTTTACTTCAAATTTTACGATTTAAGTTTCTAGATTGACTGACGCAGCGAGTTAGCGTGATAAACAAGGCTAGCACACGACTACACCTTTAGAATTGATAACACAAGTCTCAATCCAGAAACTTAAACCGTAAAATATGAAGTAAAAACTGATTAATTTATTGAATATTCTATATCCTCAAAAGAAACGAATAATATGTTTATATAGGGTGGTTCCAGCCAACCCTAACAAGACTCTAACTAAACAAGAAAATAAAATCCTACTTAAATACGAAAACTAATTAAAATAAGAAATCCCAACGGTTGACTAATTATAAAATAAGAAAGTAAAATTTAACTAAATTAAAACTTCCTAAGTCAACTAAACTCTTAATTTAACATTATTTTCCCTACATCACTTTCTATGCATACAGTCTTCTTTCTGTTGTTTTGGAGCACAATGCACAGCTTGGGAAATGTCAACTTTGGTTCAAGGACATGGCGAGGGACATTCAGGTTAGTTCCATATGCCATACATGAAAAGTTTAATGTTTGTTAACACTTTTTACAGCATCAACAGAACAAAATTACTTAACAGATTATGTAAATTGAATTGACAAGACCTTGTTGGGGTAAGTTTCTTGTAGCACCTCTTCAGTTTGCCATTTACTATGGTACTGTTATTGGTTGTACTCTTCTTGGAGGACAAAGCCTCAAGGTCAGTCTCTCCCTTTCCTTTGAGGACATTGAAAAATCCTTCCAAGAGTTCTTCTGATCAAACAAAAGCGCTTTATCCAAAAAGACTGCACAAAAAATTTTGTTTCGACATGCATTTTTTTGTTTATAAATAAACAGTATAAAGCAAACACATTCGATTATTTTATATCAAAAGCACTCTTGAACCCATCTACCCGAACCTTTTTAGTGTATTGACATATTAAAATACAATGATTCTGGTCCACTAGTACAGAATTCTTTTGTGGTTTTGACAACTTTTTGCAGTTCATTTACTTGCTGTACCACCCAAAAGGAACAATGCAGCTGTACCAATTCATATTTATTTTTGCCTCCATACCCCTGATTTTGTCACAAATGCCATCTTTTCACTCCTTGAGGCATATCAATCGCATCTCATTAGTCCTCTGTCTGGCCTCCAGCGCTTGTGCTACTGCAGTTTCCATTTACATAGGTAAGCACAAACTCAACAAAAGACAACCAAAGAAGTTTATGTGTACATTATGTGCTTTATGCATAGGTTTTTTATCTCACAGGACAGTACAAGAATGCACCTGCTAGGGACTATTCTATAATGAATCTCAACTAAACCACGTTTTTGGCGCTTTCAATGGTATATCAATCATCTCTACAACATATGCAAGTGGAATTATCCCAAAAATATAGGTTTCCCCTGATTACCTACTTAGTCAGTTGCAAAAGTATTGTTAACTCATAAAAGAACAAAAATATTGTTACTCCTTAAGAAAGTTAAATCTTTTTCCTTCACAAGCAACGATAGCACTTATTGGAATTTGGGAGTAACAAATCAAACTTGCACAGACCAAAAACGTGATGAACTTATAGAGAGGAAACTAAACTTCTTCTTTTTATTAATCTAACTGACTCAAAATACATTGAAGACTCTCATCTCTTTTATAGGAAGAGATCGCAACTCTAATCCTAATTGAAAACTACTTCCTTATTCTACTCAAACTAAGAAAAGGAAAATAAATAACTCAAATTCTTATTCCTAAAGCAGGACTTTAACTAAAATAGTAAATCTTCCCAAAACATAAAAATTATCCTAAAACAAAACTACTTAAAATAGGAAATTAACACGAATCTAAGACGCTCGCAATGGCCACCATTTCCATCGTCGCAACCGTCTTTCTTTTTCCACGTTAAACACTGCTTCTCAGCGCTCGCTGAAGCAACCATTTCTATCACTGCAACAATGCTTTATGTCACTGCGGTGACCAGGTGACTCTGCTTCTTTCCTCTTTGTCTTTAACCATTCTTCTTCCGACTCTTCAACTGTGGCCATCATTCCCTTCACCAAAATAGGT